CGGGTTCTCATGAAGGAGAGGGTGGCGGGGCCAGAACGCGATCCTGAGACAAGCTCAAGCCACCGAGGCGCTGGAGGGGACCAAACTCGGCAGCCGCCCTGAGCCTTTTCCTCCTTCTGTTTTCCTGGTTCCAGGAGCTGAGAAGCAGACGGGGAAACCAGCGAGTATGCAAATTCCTGCACTGTTGGGAAATGATCCTGGAGCTCCCCAGCGTGGCCTCCTGCCAGCCCTTCCCTGAACCCCAACAGGCCCCCACTGACCCAGTCTTCTTGCAAGTTCTGTCTCGCACACATGGGTTAACCAGGCTTGGGGTGCACAGTGACTAAGGAAACCTCGGCATCCCTGGTGGAAACGGAACCACCCAAAACGGGATGAAATTCCCTGCCCTGGATGTCCCCGCCCACTCTGTCCCCATCCCACTTTGCCAGCCTGAGGAAAACCCAGCAGTCTCCAAAGATCTGGGGACCTAAATTAGGAACATGAGGGCCTTGGGGCTTCAGCGGAGCGGCTCTCCCAGGCACCCCCCACCAAGTGCTATAACACCCCAAACCTCACTTGTCACCTGCAAGGTGGTGTTGGGGAGTGGCTGGGACGAGGCCAACGCTTACCACCTAGCTGCCACTTCCTCCCTCCTCCCACCAGCAAAGTTCTGTGCCCTCCACCTGCCCCCATGTCTCCTGGAAAAGCCAGAGTCTGTCTCGCCTGCACAGAAGGGCAAGCCCCCCGCCCTGAAGGAGGTGCCGGGCGGGTCTCCACCAGAGGCAGCGAGCGAGTGAGCAACAGAGAAACTGGGATTCGTGGGACACAAGGCTATGAGCTGGGGGGAGGTGGGGGTGCTGTCAGCCCGAGCGCTGGGCACAACTGCTCCCCGGGGGCTCTTGCCCCGCAAGAAGGCAGTCTGAGGATCCTAGCACATTTGCCCCAGGGCTTCTCAAACCTGGCTCTTTTTTTTTTTTTTCCAGAATGGGTGGAGTAAAGGGTAGTGAGTAAGAGCCTGTTCTGGGGGCCTCCTAGTTCACGGGATGGGTGTGGGAGACTTGGCTGAAAGAGACAGGAAGTAGGGCCCTACAATTAAGGAAACCCAAGCCAGCCCGGGCCACGGTATGTAAATCTTCCCAGCCAGTTCCTGGAGCAGGAGGAGGCCCCAGGCTGTCATCCTGGGGTGTGGCCTCTTGAAGCCCATCTCCAGGCAGCTGTCAGCATCTTCAACTACTCACCCAGTTAAGAAATGGCTACAAAACTCAGTGGGAGAAAAGGATCGGACAACCCACCCCACCCCACCCTGAGCTGGGCACATTGCTGGGAAGCAGGTCACTGGGAGGGGTCCAAAGGCTCTGATTCTGGCTGCTCTCCTGAGAGCCTGCCAAAGCCAGAGGCGCTGGTGGCGCTCTGCCTGCCACCTGCTGGCGCCTCCTGGTACAACCGCCTGTAGAGCAGGGGGCAGGCTCGGCCCCCACGGCCACCCGCCCTGCCTGGGGAAGGGCCTAGAGGCAAGGATCTCCAGCAGGATCCACAGATGAGAATCTAAAGAGAATTTACGGGAAGTAAGCACTAAGGCAAAAACGGGATTCTTCTTTATTTTCTTTGAGGAAGACTAGCCCTGAGCTAACATCTGCTGCCAATCCTCCTCTTTTTTGCTGAGGAAGACTGGCCCTGAGCTAACATCCGTGCCCATCTTCCTCTACTTTATATGTGGGATGCCTACCACAGCATGGCTTGTCAAGCGGTGCCATGTCTACACCCGGGACCTGAACCGGCGAAGCCCAGCCCACCAAAGCAGAACATGCAAACTTATACCGCTGCACCACCGGGCTGGCCCCAACAGGGTATTCTTAACGGCATTTGCGGCTCCACCCTGGAAAGCAACACCAGAGGTCCCAGTCATGCCTTCTGCAAAGTTTAAAGCTCCAGAAGATTCCAAGTGTTCCAGGTAACAGATTACCCAAGAAAAATTCTCAGGAACTGGAGGAATAAGAAGGAAAGAAAAAGGAGACAATAATGCAGGCATTCCCATTTAAAAAGTGATTTGGAAGATAAAGTCACAATGAGATCCACGGGTTGTGACCCTTTGGGTCAGCAATCCCACTGCTAAGAATCATGCTTGCAAAATGATGTTGGGCAACGCACTCCAACACTGTCTGAAACAGCAAAAGATGGGGAACAAGATCAACGCCACCAACAGGGGGCTGGTGAAATCGGTTCTGGTATACACGTGGAAGGGAATATGAAGCAGCCAATAGAAACGAGGCAGCTGCATTTATAGGTTTTCCAAGCTGTATTACTAGATGAAAAAAGTATGCTACCACTTTTGTAATAGACACACGTATGTGTGCATACTGCTCATATATGTACACAGTTCCCCTAGAAGGACACACGAGAAACTGGCTCTGGGAAGGACAACTGGTGTTTGAGGGGCAGGTGGACTATTCATTGACCGTTCAGTACATTTGAATGGATGCCACTGGCAGGTATTACTTACTCAAATTAAATATTGTAAAGCCCCCTAGGGGTCAGACATGAGTTGTAGGGTTGGGGGTGGGGATCTGAAGGAGGGCTGTATTGGCCAGGGGTCTCCAAAGTTTATTCTTGTACATGAACAGTGAAAACCTGCAGCATACCGACCCCCATCATGCATTAGTTGTTAAGCCTTGAGAACTGCCATTTTTGAAGATCAAAACGGTTGAATATCAGCAACTGCTTGTGGTTCAACCTAACATTTATTCATAAGTTACCTACATGTACTCGTGAGCTAATATTTACATTTATTATATAAACATTCAAAGTGAGGAACTAAATAAGGCTGAGCCTGAAAGTAAATATAAATCGAAGGCCTGACTGTTCCTCCTGCCCCCATGAGCCATCCTCCACGCTCCCCAGCTTGGGGGCCACTGCCCCACGAAGTGGGGATCAGAATCGGCAACATCCAAGCCCATCCCAGCGACGAAACTTTCGCTCTACAGAAGCAGTTTTTCAAAGTGAAGATTGTTTCGAAGCGTGAAGTTCACCCCTTATAAATTCCAGACAGGATAACATTAACTTAGATGGACACAGGAACGAGAATCCCAATTCCTTCTTCTCGTGGTCTCTGCCTCTTCCGCACACCTCACCTTCCCGGGCGCGACAGACGCCGGCGGCCTGGGAGCAGTGAACGTGCGGGAAGCAGCACCATCTGCTCTGCGTCCACGCTGCACCCACCCGGTGCAGCCCCTGCGGTCCGGCTTTGGGCGCGCGTTTTTAAGCGTAACAAGGCCTCAGTAATCTGGAATAAGGCTGAGAGGCAGGGAAGTCAGAATAAAAGCCAAAAATAAGTCACAGAGTGTTTCAAAACGGCATACATGTTACTGCCTTCAAGCTGAGGCCGTTCAGCATTTGTTTTCATTCCCTCACTGACCGTATAGATCAAGATGGCAGGAGTCCTCCTTGGGACGTTTAGAGGACTTACATGACCCCAAAACCCAGAGGCTCAAGCTTGGAGCTGGAAATAATTCTGATGCCTACTTCCTACTCAAGCAGGGGGCTTTCTTCTAAGCAAACAGTATAAACTCATCGCGGAGAGAACAGTTAATCTATTTCTTGGTCCTTTTTTAACGCATTTTGAAGGCCCTCAGCTTCAGACATGCCCAGCAGCTCTGACAAGTCCACGCTCTCTCAACCCACAGGGGCCCTGTCCACATTCACGACGCTGCCCTTCAGACCCCCCTGGACCCCGAGCAGCTTCCAATCTTTTACTTTGTGGTTGTTCCCACTCTCCATCTTCAATTTGTAGGGTCTGTGGTGTTTGGAACATTTTGAGTTTGAATCCTCTTTCCCCAGCTCCCTGGAAGAGCATACTTGAGACTCCCCAGGACACAGGCAGCCAACTCCCAGAATAAGACATAAAACCTAACTACAAAGTGCCTGGACTTCTTGTTAATATCTTATAACTACCAAAAGGAGCAATAGGACAACCTGCTCCCATCGTGGAGATGAGAAAGCTCAAGCACAGAAAACCAGGTTTACCCAGATGGCAGAAACCAACCAGTAGGACTGCCCTCAGCCCTCCCATCCCCTCTTGTCCCCTGGATTACTGGAGAGGGAAGAGGACACAGCACAGGAGCCATCTTGCAGTTTGGCTCTAGTTCTTTAAACCAAGTCATCTTCTTTTCCTAAGACCTGAAGCCAAGTACTGTTCCAAACCCAGCTAACCTAGTGAAGGCAGCCCAGAAGGAACGCCTTCTCGGTGCCCCTGGGGGTGGTCCAGCTCAGGGACCACTGGTGGGGGCTGCAAAGATGGGAGGACACAGGCCACCCAGCAGACCTCTACCAAATGTTGTAGGTGGGTACTGCGAGGGCAAGTGCCACCTGAATGAACATGTCTCTCTGTGTTGGCACGTTTATTCTTTTGATCGATGACTTAATCAAAGTCATTACCTTATCCTCTTTGAAAGTGGAGCCAGTTAGTTTATAACAGAAGTTACAAACATCTCAAGCACGCGGGCAGGGATGCCTTGCGCCCTTTCCCAGACCACCCAGATGTAGGGAGCCTAGGCGGTCCTTCAGGACTTGAGTATCTCCAGCACGCCTGGCCGACGTACAGGAAAACTGAGAGGTCCTCTAATCAGTAATTAAACTTCATAGAGAAAATAAGCATAAAGCCAGCAGCCTGTCTCTAACTACGATTACATACACACGTGGGTGTATTGGTATACATAGATAGGCCTGTAAACAATACGTCTTCTCAAGAGCAGTCCTACCATAGCTCTAGGAAATAAACTATGAGAGTCAGCAATGTCTCCTGGTTTGCTTTGTGCTTCCTCAGAGCTCAGGAAACTGCAGGCACTCCTCCCTCCCAGAGGAGACAAACCAACAGAGAAGAACGCAGATGCTTCTGGTTCCCATTGGTTTTAGTTGCTCTTGTTGTTTTTTTAAGGAACAGTCTAAATATACGAAACAATTTCCTTTAAAACCCTGACACTGGAGTTCTGCCACCAAAGACACACCTGAAGACATCTAAACAGCCACAGAGTCAAAAAAAAAGTTTATTTGAGAAAAGAGTGAAAGCTTTTGCACATTTGACAAGTAGACTTGTTTTGATAATAGATGCCATCCATATTCAGCTCTACCAAGATTATCACAAAGGAAACAGCTTTTCTAACAAAGATATGGGCATAAGTAAAGGACTACGACTAAATAGAGTCAAAGGAAGGGTGAGGCCCCAAATCTCTCCCCTGGACTGATTCACAACCCAGGATTTAAATGAAACCAGCCCGTCTCCCAGGGCAGTGGTTCTCAACTTGGCTTCCGACCAGAATCCCAGGGACTCCTCGAAAGGAAATCCCAATAACTAGACGGCCCCCGGGCAGAGTCTCTGGGTGTGGGACCCAGGCATCAGTGTTTTTTAAGCTTCCCAGGTGATTCCAACGTGCAGCCGAGGCAGCTCACCACTGCTCGGGAGGCAGGCAGCCAGTGTCGCCGCGTTCCTCAGCCCGTCAAGCCCTGTGAGGAGGCGGTCTGCTGGGCCTCGCTGGCTCTCCTTGATCCTATCTTTCACTCTGCTCAAGAACTTCCATACGGTATCAGCTTTGGGTGCAATTCTGAGCCTTTCTATTTGTCTTAGTGATTTTTAGAGCAACATTTAATCAGGCAAATACCAGCAAAGAGAGAAAAGATGGAAAAAGAAAGAAATTTCCATAAGGCATGATATGAATAAATTATTTTAAAATAAGTGAAAAAATGATCTCAGGTTTAAAAGCAAAGCATGAGAAGTCAAAGCCCGTGAAAATTTATTTATACAAAAAAATAAAAATATCTATTTTTAAAGGATTGATTTAAACTTATGTTTTTCAGCTTTTCCTGTTCCTTGAACATGAAACTGCTTCCAACTCAGAAAGATTTAAGATAGGTAATCATTAAATAGACACTCTTTACCTTCCTCCTGCAAACAAACAGAGCCAAATTCCCCATTTTATTTATGGTGAACCAGATTATCTTCAGTTAAGAACTTTGGCAACTGCACGAAACAGATGATCAGCTCTGTCAGCGGGAAGGTACGAGCTGGACATCGGCAGGACAAAAAGTCCCAAAAGAAAATAAGATGGTAAAAACAACAGTAGAAAAATAATAAAACATGAACAAAATAAGAAAATGCCAGATATTTACAGCCTCCCACTGCAGGGTGACCTGTCGTCTACTTTCAGCATAAAACAAAAGCAGAGGGCGTTTCTTGATGGGTGTCACAGATGAAGCTGGCGCCAGCCAGTGGGGGGACAGTCATTCCAGGAAGGGAGAAACACAGTTGGCGACTTGCTGGGGCTGTGACCAGGTCTTGGTCCTCCTGCGGTTCTGTTACTAAAAATGACACACGGCGAGCGATCCGATGCGGTCTTACAGAAACAACTTGTTTGTCACCACATTTCAGAACAAACTACTCAGAGTCACAGGCACTGGGTCTGGGAAAGCAGAGGTGGACGGCCACGCACGCAGGTGAGGTCGGAGGAGGGGAGAGGGCTCTACAGCCTGGAAGCTTCTGTGCTAAGGAGTCTTCTAATAGTCCTAAGGAGAGAGAAACAAAGTCCCAGCTTACTCTCAGCAGAACATGGGTTTGAAGCTAAGAAAAAAAATGTCATAAACAAGTCTGCTAGGGGGTTGCTCTGTAGCCCGAGACTATTTCAAATGCAATGGACGATACTTCACATCTGAAAATGGCCTGTGGAGTCCATGAAGGGACTGAAACCCAATCAATTCTGCCCCAGGAGACCTCCTGAGCTCACCAGTCACTAAGAATAAATAAATGAATAAAAAGCTAGTATTAATAATTGATTGTTTAATCAAAGGGAATTTTTCTTCCACAAAAATGTGTGACCCCTCTCTCTCTCCAAAATATAAAAACAGTAAATAACACCTCAGACTTGAAGTGTACCCAGATGGCCCTCAGACTTTAGAATGGGCGTTGTGACTCCAGATCAGGAACACTCAAGTTCTGAAGACGAAGACATTTTTCTAATCATCTACAAAATTACCGGGCTGTCTGAAATGGTCTGGCTGATACTTACAGCTCGTGGTTTTTTGTTTAACTTCAGATCAATCCTGCGATAGGAAAGATAAAAAATATTTGCATTTTACTTTACAGAAAAAGGGTCCAAGAATCAGCTACTGTACAGGGCACAAGCTATAACAAAGGCTATTTGGTTAAGTAAAATCCACATTCTTCCTTAGACTATGTCATATTTAGTTGTTTACCCAGATATTATTAAGCAAGTATTTAAAAACATGAGCAGATACTCTTGCCACAAGGCAAACTTAAACGACTCAAGAAAGAAATAGACAGCAGTCACGAAAGCCAAATCATTTTTTAAAATTACTCCAAAATTACACGTTAAAGAGACTGGATTAAGAGGCATGCTCCACGTTAATGTGTTAGCTCTTAACTACATCCCTGATAGTCACTGAGACACAGAGTGATTAAGAACAGGAAGGAAACTAGGACTTTGTATTTCTGGATAGGAAACACAAAAGAAATTAAACGAATTTCAATTCTTAAATCTTTCCAAAGCCAAATATCAAGATCTTAAACTATTAATCTCCTTACGAAGCAAAGCCAGAAAATCAATTTAAATATAAAGTAAAGGTTATCTAGTTTAAAAGAAATTAAAATGCATAAAAGTGAAGTTTACTTAATTTTGCTTAAGTTATTAAATAAAATGTTACCTCCATCACGTTTTTCTGTTTTAAAAAAAACTTCCCAGCCTAACCTAATATACATACCTACAATTAAACAGATAAACTATGGGTTAGAAAGGTCTCAAAAAGGCATATTGGTCTCTACACACTAACAACACAGCACAAATACTAATTCAAATCAAACTTACTCAAAGTCATAATCAAACATGCCAGACGGGCTGAGGGCAGCATTTGAAAGGAAGAAAGCAATAGAAATTAATATACTAATTGAATAAATTAGTTGATTAGCCACCCTAGCAAGATTTATAGAAACAAAATCAGCTTTAAGAATCTTAAGCCATAAAGTTTTCAACATCAAGGCACCAAAGACAGTGTGGTTGGCAGAGTCCCTTCCCTCAGTGAATTTCACATTAGGACAGACCACGAAAGGAAAAGTCACGTCATTAGGAACCTGGACCCCTGCAGGACTTCTATTAGCTGCCCGATTCAGAGTTAGAGCTTTCAAAATATTCTATTGTAATGAAAAATATAAATAGGGCATTAGAAGAAATAGAGAAAGAGGGTTTAGTCATATAATGAAAGGTGCTTTGAAGACAGTACTAATAACTCAGCATAATATACTTTCACTAAAGTCAAAGATAAAAACATGACAAATTTTTTAAAAAGAAAACATTCTGCAACTTTTAACTCGAGTTCTATGTTCCAGCGTGTCCAGGGAGCGTGGCACTCCTTTTCTACAGCATTCATCCTAGAAGCCAAGGGTCGAATGCAGAGTCTTGTTCCAGAAACTGCAGAGCCGTCTTACTCTGCCCCCTGAACTGGTGGCGGCAGTGAACGGCTTAGGTCAGGGCCGCAATTGCGGAGCACCGAGGTCTGCAGCGCCCCTATCAAAACAAAGCAAAGTTGCCATCCACGAGCACCCGAGCCTCCGGCACCCGGAGGGGAGCAGCACAGAGGAGGAGGCCACTTGGGGCCATTGCTGCTAACAGACCGTGGTCCAGGCAGACCTCCAAGGCAAACAGTAACCAAGATTGTGACACCAGCTCCTTAGGTGGCTCCAACGCCTTTCTGACTGTAGGCATGTGGTAAAACAATATGCAGAATAGCTGTCTTTCCCTCCTAGCCAATGTTTGCAAGAGCGAAGCTGGAAGAAAGCTTAACTTCAATATCCCTTATGCAATAGCTTCACCTGACACATCTGGGAGAGTATACGGTAAGTGTACAAACTAGTAACTATCAAAAATTTAACTTTCAGCCTAACTCAACTTTGTTCATAAATTAAAGGAGACTGTACCTACTTAAAAACTATCTTCAAAAAACTTCAAACTATCTAGAAGAATTCTAGACATTGGTATAGTATAAAAACCTATAAGAGCAGCTATAAGTTATTATTTCAACTTTTTTAAAAAAAGACACTGGGACTTATTCAGATGTCATGTAAAACATAAGAATTCAGAACACTGTAATCATTTACGAATGCTAAAAATTATTTGATAAATTTTCATATTCCTGAAGAGTACAAATTCAAAAGCTGTTCTTTTTTGCTAAAGTACCATATTTATTTCCACTTTGCTTTACTCACCACTAAACAGTGCCTGGTACATAGGAGGTACGCAGACGTTTGCTAAAATAATGTCCTATTGACTTTACTGACCATACAGGGTGTGACACGTGGGAGGAGAAACAAGGACTGTGCTGAGGGCAGACTTCCAGTGTGTGTGGACCGCCCACCCCATCTGTCAGCCCCACTCAGACATCAGTCAGGGGTCAGGGGTCGGGGCCAGACACAATTCCAGGCTCAAGACGGCAGGAGCCTGAGAACCTGAGAACCGTAACTGGCCGTGAGGAGCCATCGCAGGTGCACTGAACTGCTCTTCCCAGCAAGAAGGCAAATCAGCTCCACTCCGCTCCCCTGGGGCAGACGAGTGCCTGAGGTCAAGAAGCCCAGCCAGATACCAAACCAGGGAATGACAAACAGAGCCTGTTCTCAAACAGTTCTTCCCCACTTGTGGGAAGCAGTAACTAACATCAAAGATCTTTATAAATCCTCATATTTTTCCGGGAGTTAGCTCCTAGGGCCAGGAGACGAAGGAAGGGTAGGAAGAAGTGCTCTCCCTGTGGAAACCTCCTAGAAACCTACAAGAAGGAAGTGAAGTTCAAGGCCTGGTTCCCTTTATCAGTCAGCCGATGACGTCATTAAGGCAAATGAGGTGTTGCCCGAAACAGACAATAGCTATCGAGAAAGCTTACGGTGACAGATGGAAAAAATGTCCCAGAAACTTTCAAGGAATTTTCCCCCTGCTCTGGACACTCCGAAATAGGAAAAGAATCATTGCTTCAAAACGATGCGGGAGCAAATTTAATAAAAGCTTCACAGAGCATGATATTTAATTATCTTGACAATTAAAAAAATATTTTTAAGAGTATGGTTCCCTGCTACTGTTTGTGATAAGCTGGGATCAGTCCCATCACAGTGGTCAAATAACGCAGAGCCTTAAAAAAAAAAAGGAGATGATAGGCAATTTTTGCTATTTCTTAGTGCAGTTATGAGATTGGCATGGTGATTCCTGGTTTGCAGAAAACATCAGCAGCAGTCCTTTGTTGCTGTTTGGAGGAAATACTATTTCTGCAGTCTAAAAACCACCACCACCGCTGACAAGCAAAACTCTTAAAAGAATTCAAGAACCAGTTGATGCCAAGGAGGCTTAAACCAGTTAGATTAATTCTCCATTATCCCCGGGTCTCACGTCCACAAAGCTAACAATCTTCACACCTTGGGTGCATGAAGGAATGTGCTGCCCGTGTGTAAAACGTCCCAGCCCAGAAGCAAACCGGAGGCCAGGAGCCCCACCCACTCCTGCGTGCCCCTCATTTTTTCAGCACTCGGGCTCCCAGGAGGAGCGGGACAAGAGCCAGCCTACGGAGACCCGCTTTTTATGCCTCCCAGAGGAAGGTGTGAGGCCAGAGCAAGATCCTCACTCTGGAAACTAGGCATCACCCTCTCTGAGGGCAGCTGTGTGATTTCCAGTTGTCTCAGTTAACAGGCCTCAGCATTACCGTACAAATGCCACGCAGCGTGAACGCTAAAATCCTCTCTGGGAGGCACCTGCCCCTCTGTCCACGGAGGTCATTCCTATCTCATTACGTACTGCAAAACACACAGTGGCAAAGATGATCTAGGAAGGCACTCCCACATCTGATAGACTTTACGTTGTTCTTCTGAGATCTGAAGCCAGCATATTGCAGAGATATATAAAAACAGAAATCACAGACAATCAAAACACTTGTATTGAAAAAGAAAAACAGCCCCGTGAGATCAGTTCTCTCCATCCACGAGGGAGTAATGGGCAGGGATCAGGACCGAGAGCAAAAGACTTTGCCCCACTCCGCAGCTTCCCAGCACGTGCTAGGACACACATTCCGTTTCTATTTCCCCTTTTCCTCTCCTAAAAGCAGGCCAAATCCACCACACTAAACATGTTTCTATGGAATAAAATTCTTCTGCACTAGAAACAGTGAGAAGGATGGCCTCCTTCACGGTCACTCTGATGCCCACCAATTCCCCCCTTAGAGACAGAAAAACTCCTCCGTTTCACTGGGACCAAAGGGATTTCTTCCCATCAGAAATAGGAAGACTGCACTGATGCTGAAGATTCTTTTTCTAGTAAAGTCCCTCCCCAGCCATGGTCACAGAAGCTCCGGGTGGGCGGGGGTGGTGTGAGGTGGGGAGTGTGGGGGTCCCCGCCACTGACCTGTGCCGGTTTTTGTTCTTTCGTTTTTTATGGCTGCTGTGGTGGCTCCCTGAGGAAGTAGAAGACGCAGCCTTCTGAGGTTTCACTCCCTGCACAGATCCATCCAGATCCTCGGGGTCCTCCTGGCTGGGCTCATTTTCCTGATTGTGGAAGTCTGGAGAAGTATCACTTTCCGTGCCACTTCCTGGCTCCCCTGGAGGAAAGAAACACAAGTCCCCAGAAACATCATCAGTCTCCTCAGGTAATCTGTTCACCAACGAGGACAGACTTTTTGAGCACTAATATATATGGAAAAGGATTATTTCTTATCCTCGAGGACCAAATATTCTGATTCACACCAAGATATATACAGTCAAAGCATCAAAGTTACCAGAATTCTTGAAAAACATGTAATCTGAAACAGTGTAACCAGAGGCAAGAGATCTAATGACGGCTGGGAGATGGGACCATACAACCAGGATAACCTCACCGCATACAGCTTGTTTAGACATAGAATACGCTAATGAGATTAATGATTATACGAGAAGCGTTACTAAAAACACTTGGGGAGGTGAGAGATGACCTTGGGAAAACATCCTACAGCGGGCCCCAGTTCCTTCCCCAAACCATACAGGAATCCTGTCTTTCTATCAAGAAAAAGGGCTCGAGAGGAGAAGAGCCTACTAGCTACGTCACTCTGAAAAGTCTTAAGAATATTTAAAAAGTGATGATAATACTCTTCAGCTGACACAATATTCCCAATTTTAAAACATCCCTTAGATATGTTAAATAAGCAAGTTCAAGAACAATTTGTATACATATAATTTTTAGGGAAAACTACATATATTTTGGTAAATGTATACTTTTCTTCCCTGACAGGAATTTCTTGAAACTCTCAACAGAAAAAGATGCGGGAAGACTTTCACTTTACTGAACTTTTCAAGGATCGTAAATATGTACATTATCTGTTTCTAAAAATTGTCAAAAAACTGTGGACAGCAGGACCAGGGGCCAGTTTTCTTCTTTTTTATGTCTTTGTATCATAAACTGCTGGGAAGAGATTTCAAAGTGAGTAGCACGTGGCTATGAGAAGTAGAAGAGGCAGTCCCAAACAGCAGGAGAGAGAAAAAGAACCACATCTCCCAAATCATGAAACCCTGTTTTTGAATATTTCACGAAAGCAACAGAAGAGGGAGCTGTGGAACTAAGAGGCTAGAAAAAGCACACTGACCCGTCCTGCCCTCCCAAAGTTCAGGACAACCGATTTCATACAAAAATCAGCAAGAGAACTTCAAAACTTACTACACAGAGCTAGAGCTAGAAGACAGTGGTAATGGTGTAGGAACAGACACACAGATCAAGGGAACAGAATTCAGAGTCCAGATACAAACCCTTACATTTCCGGTCAACTGATTCTCAAGAAGGTTGACCAGACAATTCAGTGAAAAAAGAATAGTCTTTTTGACAAATGGTGCTGGGACAACTGGACATCCACGTCCAGAAGAATGAAGCTGGACCCCTATCTCACACCATACACAAAAATTAACTCAAAATGGATCGCAGACCTAAATGTAAGAACTAAAACTAGAAAACTCTTAGAATCCACTGGATTACGCAATGGTTTCTTAGAAATGACCACAGAAGCAAGCATGAAAAAAAGAAAAAACATATAAAGTGGACATCATTTATATAAAACACTTGACCTGTAAATGACATCACCAAGAAAGTAAAAAACTACCCAGAGAATGGGAGAAATTATTTGCAAATCATATATCTGATAAGCACTTGTACCCAGAATATATGAAATCTTAGAACTCAATAATAAAAAGACAAAAGAACAAATTTTTTAAAATCGGCAAAAGATTTGAATGGACATTTCTCAAAATAAGATATACAAATGGTCAATAAGCACATGACCATGCTTAACATCATTAGTCATTAGAAAAATGCAAATCAAAACCACAATTGGGTTGTTTGCTTTTTTGTCGTTGTTTTCTTCTTCTCCCCAAAGCCCCCTGGTACATAGTTGTATATGCTAGTTATAGGTCCTTCTAGTTGTGGCATGTGGGACGCTGCCTCAACATGGCCTAACGAGCAGTGCCATGTCTGCGCCCAGGATCTGAACCGGCAAAACCCTGGGCTGCTGAAGCAGAGTGCGAGAACTTAACCACTCGGCTACAGGGCCGGCCCCAGTTGTTTGCTTTTTGTTGTTGAGATGTAGGAATTCTTCATATATTTTGGATATTAACCCCTTTTCAGATACATGGTTTGCAAATATCTTCTCCCAATTGTTAGGTTGTCTTTTCATTTTGTTCATGAAGACTTTTAGTCTGAGGTAGTCCCATTTGTTTATTTGTTCTTTTGTTTCCCTTTCCTGCCCAGGCATAGTATTTGAAAACATGCTGCTAAGACTGATATCAAAGAGTGTACTGTCTATGTTTTTGCCTAGAAGTTTTATGGTTTCAGGTCTTACATCCAAGTCTTTAAGCCCTTCTGAGTTAATTTTTGTAAGTTGAGTTAATGGTGTAAGATAATGGTCTACTTTCATTCCATTTTTTTTTCCCCCTTCTTCTTCTCTCAAAAACCCCCCAGTACATAGTTGTATATTCCAGCTGTAGATCGTTCTAGTTGAGCCATGTGGAATGCTGCCTCAGCATGGCCTGACCAGCGGTGCTAGGTCCACGCCCAGGATCCGAACCAGTGAAACCCTGGGCTGCTGAAGCGGAGTGCATGAACCCAACCACTCGGCCACGGGGCTGGCCCCCTACCTTCATTCTTTTGCTTGTGGCTGTCCAGTTTTCCCAACACCATTTAATGAAGAGACTTTCTTTTCTCTATTGTATGTTCTTGGCTCCTTTGTCAAAAATTAGCTGTCCACAGATGTGTGGGTTTATTTCTGAGCTCTCGATTCTGTTCCATTGATCAGTGTGTCTGGTTTTGTGCCGGTACCATGCTGTTTTGATTACTATGGCTTTGTAGCATATTTTGAAATCAATGAGTGTGATACCTCCAGCTTTGTTCTTTTTTCTCAGGATTCCTTTGGCTATTTGGGGTCTTTTGTTGTTCCACATAAATTTTAGGATTCTTTGTTCTACTTCTGTGAAATAGGTATTGGAACTTTGATAGGGATTGCACTGAATTTGTAGATTGCTTTAGGAAGGATAGACATTTTAACTATTTTAATTCTTCCAATCAAAGAGCATGGAATATCTTTCCATTTCTTTGTGTCTTTTTCAATTTCTTTCAACAATGTTTTATAGTTTTCAGTGTTATGGGTCTTTCACCTCTTTGGATAAATTTATTCCTAGGTATTTCATTCTTTTTGTTACAATCATAAATAGGATTATATTCTTAATTTCTCTTTCTGCTACTCCATTGTTAGTATACAGAAATGCAAGTAATTTTTGCATCCTGCAACTTTCCTGTATTCACTTATTATTTTCAATAGTTTTTTGGTGGATTCTTTAGGGTTTATATATATAAAATCACGTCATCTGCAAATAGTGACAGTTTCACTTCTTCCTTTCCAATTTGGATCACTTTTATTTTTCTTGCCTGATTGCTCTGGCTAGGGCTTCCAATACTATGTTAAATAAGAGTGGTGAGAGTGGGCATCCTTGTCTGGCTCCTGTTCTTAGAGGGATAGCTTTCAGTTTTTCTCCGTTAAGTATATTAGCTGTAGGTTTGTCATATATGGCCTTTATCATGTTGAGGTACTTTCCTTCTACACCCATTTTATTGAGGCTTTTTATCCTAAATGGATGCTGTATCTTGTCAAATGCTTTCTCTGCATCTGTTGAGATGACCATGTGATTTTTGTTCTTCATTTTGTTAATGTGGTGTATCACACTGATTGATTTGCGGATGTTGAACCATCCCTGCATCCCTGGAATAAATTCCACTTGATCATGGTGTATGATCTTTTTAATGTATTGTTGTATTCGATTTGCTAGGATATTGTTGAGGATTTTTGCATCGATGTTCATCAGTGATACTGGCCTATAATTCTTTTTTTGTGTTGTCCTTGTCTGGCTTTGATATCAGGATGATGTTGGCTTCTAGAAGGAGTTAGGAAGCCTTCCCTCCTCTTCAGTTTTTGGAAGAGTTTGAGAAGGATAGGTATTAAGTCTTCTTTGAATGTTTGGTAGGATTCATCAGGGAAGCCATCTGGTCCTGGACTTTTATTTTTGGGGAGGTTTTCGATTACTGTTTCAACATCTTTACTGGTGATTGGTCTATTCAAATTCTCTATTTCTTCTTGATTCAGTTTTGGAAGGTTGTATGATTCTAAGAATTTATCCATTTCTTCTAGATTATCCAATTTGTTGGCATATTGCTTTTCATAGTATTCTCTTATAATCTTTTGTATTTCTAAACTGTCTGTTGTAATCTCTCCTCTTTAGTTTCTGATTTTATTTATTTGAGGCTTCTCTCTTTTTTTTTGGTGAGTCTAGCTAAAGGTTTGTCAATTTTGCTTATCTTTTCAAAGAACCAGTTCTTAGTTTCATTAATTTTTTCTATTTTTTTTTTTAGTCTCTATTTCATTTATTTTCACTCTGATTTTTATTATTTCCTTCCTTCTAGTGATTTTGGGCTTTGTTTGTTGTTCTTTTTCTAGTTCCTTTAGGTGCACTGTTAGATCGTTTATTTGAGATTTTTCTTGTTTGTGGAGGTAGGCCTGTATTGCTATAAACTTCCCTCTTAGTATTGCTTTTGCTGTGTCCCATAAATTTTGGCATGTTGTTTTTTCATTTTCATTTATCTCCAGGGATTTTTGATTTCTCTTTTGATTTCTTCACTGACCCAATAGCTGTTCAAGTTGCATTTTGTTTAACGAATTGTTGAAGCAATTACATCATTTGTTTAAGCAATTAAAAAATGGGCAACTGATCCAAATAGACATTTTTCCAAAAAAGATTTACAGATGGTCAACAGACACATGAAAAGATGTTCAACATCACGAATTAGTAGGGAAATGCAAATCAAAACTACAATGAGATATCACCTCACACCCATAAGAATGGCTATAATTAATAAGACAGGAAACAAGAAGTGTTGGAGAGGATGTGGAGAAAAGGCAACTCTCATACACTACTGGTGGGAATATAAACTGGTGCACCCACTATGGAAACTAGTATGGAGATTCCTCAGAAAATTAAGAATAGAACTACCATATGACGTAGCTATTGCACTGCTGGGTATTTATCCAAAGAA